CAATTATTTACCCCTTTCTTTTTTTTAAAGTTTATTTATTTTGAGAGAGAGTACATATGCGCACACAGACAGGGGAGGGGCAGAGAGAGAGGGGGAGAGAAAGAATCCCAAGCAGGCTTCTGTCAGCAAGGAACCCGACATGGAGCTTGAACCCACAAACTGTGAAATCATGACCTGAGCTGAAATGAAGAGTCAGACGCTTAACCGACAGAGCCACCCAAGAGCCCCTCCTTCTTTTCTTATAAGGGGACTGAATATCCTTGCCTATTGCTAGGTCACTCCCTGTGCCATCCTACTGGACACTGTATGATTCTTTGCTCCTTAAGTCTGAACTTAGCCATACGACATCTTGTTGCCAATGGAATGTGAGTGGGTATAATGTACACCAAATCCAACCAGAAACTTTAAAAATTGTGCTAGGATATTTTTTGAAATAGATCTTTCATGCTTCTGCATCTTGTGGGCAATGCTGCCTTTGTTCCTTTTTAAAAATATCTTTCAGGAGGTTCTGTTTAGGTTTCTTTCTTAGTTTTAATCACCATTAAAATATGGGATGTTTGCGGGATGCCTGGTTGGCTCAGTCAGTTGAGCATCCAACTTTGGCTCAGGTCATGATCTCATGGTTTGTGAGTTTAAGCCCTGCATCGGGCTCTATGCTGACAGCTTGGAGCCTGGAGTCTGCTTCAGATTCTGTGTCTCCCTGTCTCTCTTCCCCTTCTAGGCTCACACTCTGTCTCTCTCTCCCAAGAATGAATAAACATTTAAAAAAAAATTTTTTTTAATGTGGGATGTTTGCTGATGGACAGAGTGAATGACTTCCCCTCAGGGGTCACTTATTGTTGACTTCAAATCACACCTTGGAGACTAAGATAGAAGGCTAGTTGATAGGCACAGCCCCTAAACAAATGTCCAGTGTCTAGGTGTCCTCCATCTAGAGTGGCATTGCAGGACCAGTGAGAGATGCCATGTCCTACTGCCTGGTGATCTGACTACTTAGGTAAACCAAAGTCATCTGTAGTTTTCATTCCTTGTAAGAAACAATAGATAAAAGCTACAGCCCCTACATTGTGCTTATCTTATTGTACTCCCTTCATTTTATCATCCTATTATATGCTACACTGTTGAGATTCTTCATCTCTAGTGGAGGAAGACAGCAAGGTCTTAATGGCAGGTGTTGTAGGACTTAAATGTTCTCAGACATCTTATATGGGAGGAAGTGGTTTCCGTCTGGTTTGTGAAGTCCATGTCTCAGAGGAAAGATACCAGAATAAGGATAGGTGGTACATAGACTGTCTTCCTTTGCATCCCACTCATCTATCTGATGGGCCATATCTCTGCTTTGGATGTTGGGCATCCCTCCTGGAGGCTTGGATCTCATTGACCTGTATTCTTAGTTTCTAGATTCTCATAACTTTTTTTCATCTTTGTATTCATGAGTATTTCAATGGGCAATACTTCTTATTAGGCAGCCTCTAATTTCATCATTTTCTCAAGTAGCTGTGAGAGAGTGTGGCTGAATTTCTACATACCCATTCTAAGAACATCTTTTCCAGCTCAGCAGAGTCATGGGTGATATAAGGACCTTCATTTTCCTCGGCCTTTTCATCTGATTTACTGGGTCTTGGTGAGACCAGAGTTCTGGCAGTGACACACTGGCTGGTGGATCGGTTTCTTTTCTCTGCCATATTTTAAGGTCAGTGCTAGCAGTGCCAGGAAAGCATCTCAACTGTGACTTCTTCAAACCAGTCACATCCCAGAAAGTGTCCAGATCCTGCATCCAAATTCCTGCTCCACTACTTACTAATGGTGTGAACTTGAACAAATAATCCAAATCCAGTGATTTTGTTTCTTTATCTGTAATGTAGCAGTAAACTGTCCACATTTTTTAAGTTTATTTATTTTTGAGAGAGAGAGAAAAAGAGAGAGAGAGAGAGAGAGAGAGAGAGAGAGAGAGAGAGAGAAGTTACAGAGAGAGGGGAAAACAGAGGCTCCAAAGTAGGCTCTGCACTGAGAGAGAGCAGAGATCTCAATGCAGGGCTCAAACTCACGAACCATGAGATCATGACCTGAACCTAAGTCAGATGCTCAACTGACTGAGCCACCCAGGCGCCCCAAATGCCTACATGTTTTGGTCAATACGAGGCTTAGAGAAAATGAAAGCATTACACTTGGGAAACAACTGGCACAAATTGGGTGCTCAATAAAGGTTGAGTGCAGGACTATAATTAATATCATAATGCCATAGTCTGTTATTGTGGTTCACACTGATATTTGATATCAGTTCATATTGATATTGTGGTTCACACAGAATGCATGAAGAATAATGGGGGTTTGGTTGTATAATCCATGTTAACCCCATGCTCCTGCACCTGCATTTGTCAAGCCAATAATTAATTATCTGTGTGACTTTGGAAAAGTCCCATTCCTTTTCCATGCTTCTAGTTCCCATTTGTAAACTAAGGACACAGAACTATATCAGGGTAGAAAACAGGTTTAATCTTTATTGTTAACTCTAGGTAATCAGTACTGGGGACTGAAAATACAGATTTAAAAGGATTCTGAGGCAGTGGCTGGGCTCAGGAGATGAATTTCCCGTGATCTATTCTCAATGATTAACATGGGTAGGGAGGCTGATCACAGCTGTCCCAAATTTGTCAGGTCTAAACTAAATGTTCTCTAGGGATTGTCTCAACTCCCAATCTTCTAGTTCCTTTTCTGGGTCTTCTTGATGGGCCTTTGTAATTGGTGACACCCTGATAATAAATGGAAATTTACTACCAGTGGAGTGAAAAGTTAAGAATCTGAAAGGAGAGTGGTAGACAATTAAGCCGCTTCTCCAAATGGAAATAGAGTTTCTTTGAGACTTCATTGCAATTAGAGCAATAAGAAAGAAAGAAAGAAAGAAAGAAAGAAAGAAAGAAAGAAAGAAAG